TCAAGTATTCAACCATTGTGAGTGATGACACCAACCATTTGAAGAAGCTACAGTGTCCCTAACTGGTTCCAAAGTCAGTGAAACTGCAGTGTAGACAGGGTATCACACTGGATCGATCCTTGGGGAGGCTAGCTACTGCTGAGCATGCTGGGTGTCTCAGGACTTGTGCAGATTTGCCATGCTTGGGGCTGATCTCATTGCTTGACACTCTGTTTGTTTGTTTGTTTGTTTTTGTCTTTAGCACCTCAGTGGAGGCTGTGAAGACGCTTTTCTCCATGCCTGGCTACTGGAAGGAATTTGCCAGCATCCACTTTCATCGGTGTTGGGACATGATAGCCTCCCGATATCACTACTCGCAGGGGGTTGGCCTGATTGCAAGGTAGGAGCACAACGTTTCCTCTTCTTTGGGTCTCTCTTGGGAATGGGATTTCCGTGTGAAATAGTCCTCAGTTCCAGGCTGCCAGCTCAGCCCAGCAACTGGAGCTGAACGCTCTCTCCCCCTTGAGAATCAAAAGGGACTTTCTGTTCCATGTTCCAGAGCCATGATCGAGTTTGAGAACCCTCAGCTCCCTGCAGTTTTCAGAGAGGCAATCACCATCGTCCAGAGTGGGAAGGAGGAGGAGCAGAGAACTATCGCCCTGGCTTTCTGCACTGAGGTGAGACTCATGAGTTGACAGGCAGAAGTGGGCTTTCTGGAGAGCAGCTCAGGACAGTAAGCTCTAGGCTACATTGTCAGCAGCTTAGCAGCCCTACCGCCAGCTAGCTCCTCTCCGCACATGGATAGATGCGGGGCATGGCAAAGAGAGGGAGGGAGAGACATGGTGAGATTGCTCCTGGCTGGATGTGCCCAGATGGGGTTATGGGACAAGAAGCCATGTTTCCCCAGTGCCCCAAGGCCATGCTTCTCTCCTCGCCTTTTCCTGGGGTTCTGCTTTTCTTCTGCCCCACGGCTCTCTCCATGGCACTCAATGAGGTCTGGAGATTCCCCTTTCCCTGGGGGCTTATTTGTGACTTCTGCATTAGTCTAAATTTGGGGAAGGAACCAACTGAAACAGCAGCAATTGGCTCCCTACTCACCAGAGACTTTGCATTGGAGGAAGTGGCCGTTTGGTAAAGACGACTGTCCAGGGAACAGACTGTGGCGGTTCAATGACAAGACAGCACAGAGCTTTTAGCAAGCAAGCGGCTGGTCTGCTAACAGGCTTCTGCCTGTCAGCTTTCCACCTTCCCCTTTATTCTTTCTCTCCTCCTGCGCATTACATTCTCCAACAGATAAAAGGAATACACTGGCTTTGTTTAACATTCTTTCTATCTACCACATTCCTTGCTCTCGGGCCTTGAGCCCAGTCCTGGGAGGCTTCCCACGATTCACGACATCTGGGTGAGATTCCAAGGTTGATGCCCTTGAAAGGAGCTGTGTGTGCACAGGTCCAGCACAACACTCCAGGTGTGCCCTGAATGTTGCCAAGCACATAAACCTTGTATGAATCCTACATCCCCTCCTTTTTTGTTTATTTGTGCTCGGCCATCTCATGGTAGCCATCAATTTGCTTTTGCAAGCCAATTAACTCCCAGACAGACAAGGTCATAACTCGTGGAGCCTGCCAGGGCGGTTCTCGACAAAGCCTTAACAAAAAGGAAATACATTGCACACAGCAACAGCAAAAAATAAGCTTAAGAAGGTAAAATGTAATTGGCCGGGCCCCAATTAGCCATGCTAAAGTACTGGGAAGAGAGGTTCGCATAAGCAGCGAGCATCATCTCATTTCCAATTTCCTCAGGGTGATGACATACTGGAATAAGGCACATACCTAACAATTCTTCAGCTGCTACAAAATCAGATAAACAAAAGTGGGTAACATTTGCTATTGAAGCCAATCTTTCCCATAGGTTATATGTCATTCGGGCCCGTAACGGAGAAAGCGCTCCCGAGCCAACCCCTACAGGAAATAGCAGGCACAAAAGGCATATAATCAATACAGAATTAGCAGTAATTTGGGCGAGAATTGCCACAAACAAAGTCTCAGATGTCTCTGGCTGTTGGTTTGCTGCCAGTCTTCACTGAGCCACGGCGACCAATGCTTTTACTGCTCCCCATGTCACGGGCTGGCTTGGGACGCTACTCCTCCTCCGTTTCCGTCCCGCCATTGTCGACCCGGGAGGCACCGCGTTCTCCTCCAAGATCAGCTGAAACTCCGGTATGGGGTTCGACAGCTCCTGGTGCCACGCCATGCTGTTTCAGTGCCGGTCGCACACACCGGGCCAGAACCCACAACGGTCCTGCTGGGAGAGACACAGCAGCATATCCCCGACCCCAAGTAATTAAAGGTACTGGGCCCAACCATTGCAGATCGGGCAGCTAATGGTAATAGACACGCGGTCTTTCCAGTACCTCGGACTTATGAAAATGCCAATCTGCGGGGGTCTGCTGATCTGCTTTCAGCGTTAAATTATTTAAAGTAAACAAAAGGATATGCATTTGTTGCTGAATGTCTCCTAAGGTTCGGAGACGCAGCTCCCCTTGTTTTAATTGTTTGTCGAGCAAGATTTTTAGTGTGCAATTTGCACGTTCAACAATAGCTTGGCCCGCGGAGTTATAAGGGATCCCGTGTGTGAGATGGATGTCCCATTGGGCACAAAAGGCGGAAAGGGCTGTGGAGCAGTAGGCTGGGGCATTATCTGTCTTTATCTGGCTCGGGCGACCCATAACAGCAAAACGGGCTAGCAAATGGTGAACAACTTTGGGAGTGGCTTCCCCAAGCTGTGGGGTCGCCCAGAGGAATCCCGAATAGGTATCAATGGAAACATGTAAAAATGAATAGAGGCGGAATTGTGGCACGTGAGTGACATCCCTTTGCCACAGCTGATTCGCTGCGGTACCTCTGGGGTTAACGGCATAAGAAAAGGTAGGGGCAGCAGCGGCACAGTGGGGGCAGGAACGAACAATGGAGCGTGCATGATCAGCAGGAATGTGAAACTGCCGGGCCAAAACAGAGTCAGACTGATGAAAAAAGGCATGGCTTTCAATGGGGTCAGGAAAAAGGGAATTTACCTGACCACGTAACGCACGATCGGCACGCGCATTGCCCTCAGTAAGCAGTCCAGGCAGAGGGGTGTGACTGCGAATCTGAGCAACAAAATAAGGGAAATTACGAGTGGTGATGAGATACTGTAAGGACAAAAACAGGCGAAGAGGGTCCGCATCGACCTGAGGGGTATTAAGGGCAAGGGGTAAATGATCAATTACCTGATAAACATAATGCGTGTCCACAATCAAATTAAAGGGATAATCAGCAAAAAGTTGAAAGGCCAAAATAACAGCAGCTAGTTCCTAGGACTAGTGAAGCTCTCCAAGCGCTGTGCATGCAAATATTGTTGTACAAGTGAATGAAGCGCTTTCAGTTTTTCTAGGGGGGAGGGGCCACTGGTCAATCCATACGGGCTCTAAGGATTGCCATACCAATGGTAATGTGGATGGCAAGGTGGGTGAGGGAGGATTTTGGGCCATTCTATATTAATATCGAGGGTGGTGTCCAGCTTTGCAAGTAAGTCACGGCCCCAAATATTGAGGTGGACAGGGAGTACAAAAAGATGGATTGTAGCAAGGGCACGGCCTCCTGGTTTGGAGACCGTGACCCAAGACAAACTTTGGCGCCCGGGTTTGCTACCCCCAATCCCCCACAACTCTTTAGAAGGAACTGTTGGCCAACCGACCGGCCACTCCAGATCACAAATCACTGTAACATCAGCTCCAGTGTCCACCAGCCCTGTAAAAGGAACATTATTTAAGAGAAGTGTTAACTGAGGTTTCGAGGGGCGGACCGACATTGTTAGAGCAACAAGTGGAGAGGACGTGTTGTGAGATGGCGACTGAGCCAGCGTCGATCCAAAGCCGCCTCCGCCCCGGGCTCGATCCTCTGCAGCTGGCACCTGATTGGGGACTAAAATCAACTGCGCAATTGACCGTCCACGCGGGAGCGACTGTGGAAGATGAGTCCACACCTGAACCTTAATAATGCCGGTGTAATCGGCATCAATGACCCCTGGAATGACAAAAAAGCCCTGTTTCCCAGCATGTGAGCGAGGGAGAACGAGACCCACAAAGCCAGCAGGGAGAGGTCCCGTCAACTGCGTAGGTATGGCGCAGACCTCCCTTGGCAGCCGAAAATCAGTGTCCTCCTGCATGACCAAATCAAGCCCTGCACTTCCAGCAGTCGCCGCCCTCATAGAGTCTACAGATTTTAAGGCAGAGGAATGGTTGTCTGAGTGGGAAACACCCCCATTTGGCCCTGGGTTCGGGGGGGACCCATTGCTTGGTTTCCCGACCTGCTACGACACTGATTAGCCCAGTGATAACCCTTCCGACACTTGGGGCACTTCTTTGAGGGTCGGGCAGGTGCCTTTGATGAGCGGCACTCCCGCTGAAAGTGACCCTCCTTACCACAGCGGTAACAACGCTTCCCCTCCTTCCCGGTTTTTCTCAGGGTGGCAGCCAGAACTCCAGCCTTATGGGCTTGTGTGCCGATGTTCTGGCACGCCCGCAGCATGTCTGAGAGCTCTAGAATTCCAGAGGCTTTTGCCGCCTGGAGAGCACGGCGGCAATCCTCATTCGCATTCTCAACTGCCAATTTTAACAGGATCTCCTGAGCTGCTGCAGGGCTATCCACCTGCTGGAGGATAGCCTCCTGCAATCTGTTGGTAAAATCCATAAAGGACTCTGATGCACCCTGATGGATACTGGCAAAGCTTTTGGTAGGCTTGCCCGAATCCGGGACCTTCCAGAAAGCATGCTGGGCGCAGGCGGAAATAATGGGGAAGACGGCCTGAGGGCGTTGAGACTGCATCTGAACAGTAGCAAACTGGCACTCCCCTGCCAAATGCTCATAAATGATACCTTGCTCTCTATATACCTGGGCTTGGCGTTCTGCCATCTGCCGATACTAAGCCAAATAACATACTGACTGGGTGTTAACATCATGCGCAACAGCGTCTTCCAATCTTCAGGGATTAGGGAGTACCCAGTACCTATCCCTTCAATGAGACCACGCACAAAGGTGCTAGTCAGGCCAAACTCACGAATTGCTTTCTTTACCTCTCTAACCACTGAATAAGGCAAAGTGACCCAGGTTCCAACGGGGTTGCCCTGGTCATCATTCTGCCAGGTCACCGGACAAACTGAGACCAGATCAGCCAGCTCCTCTGCTGTAAGATCTGAGCGAGTCTTCGCTGCATGAACCATTTGTTGCACCAGCGAAAGCCGCTGAGCAGATGTGGACGACCCCCCGGGGGGCCCCGGAACATGGGGCACCACGGTGGGATGGTGATCACACACTGGCTCCGGTGGGGAAGGCCAGGGAGGCGGTGGTAATAGAGGCACTGGGGGCGAAGCAGGGGGAGGGATGGTTGCAGGAGTGGACAGGGGTGGCGGGATCGGCAGCCCCTCTGTTGGCGCGGGAGAGGGCCTTTCCAAGGCGACACACTGTGTCGCATCGCCAGGAGGGGGGATGGCTGCAGGAGCGGACGGGCGTGGCGAGATCACCAGCCTCGCGAGAGAGGGCCTGTCTGAGGAGACATGCCGTATCGCGTCGCGGCAGAGGTGCCAGGCATGTAAAGCCTGCACGGGCGCCCGAGGCTCTTCGTGCAATGTCTGGCCCAATCGCTCCCAGTCCGCTAGCTTAAGGGTTCCGGCTTCAGGGTACCACGGGCATTGAGCACTCACCTCCTGTAGCAGGAGAGTGAGTTCTCGAGTGGGGCAGTCGTGCTGAGCCTTATGCAGCAAATACTGTAGCTCATTGCTGTGTTGCACTTGCAAAGCAGAGAGGGAGCTTCCCATACTTACCACAATGAAAAATACTCACCGGGATCCGTGAAGCGGATGAGTGACGCGTCTGAAACCCTTGCCGGGCGAGGTGAGTGCTGAGGGCCCCACGTTGGGTGCCAGTTGTGGCGGTTCAATGACAAGACAGCACAGAGCTTTTAGCAAGCAAGCGGCTGGTCTGCTAACAGGCTTCTGCCTGTCAGCTTTCCACCTTCCCCTTTATTCTTTCTCTCCTCCTGCGCATTACATTCTCCAACAGATAAAAGGAATACACTGGCTTTGTTTAACATTCTTTCTATCTACCGCATTCCTTGCTCTCGGGCCTTGAGCCCAGTCCTGGGAGGCTTCCCACGATTCACGACATCTGGGTGAGATTCCAAGGTTGATGCCCTTGAAAGGAGCTGTGTGTGCACAGGTCCAGCACAACACTCCAGGTGTGCCCTGAATGTTGCCAAGCACATAAACCTTGTATGAATCCTACAACAGACCCCACAATAAGACCTCTGCTCCTCAACCTGATCTTCATTTGGCTCTTGCCAGTTTCTCCAGAGTCCTTCCATTGACACCATCCTGACAAGATCAGCCCTCCAGGCACAGCTCATGGACTGGACCAAAGATGCAAATTCCATCATACGGAGGCTCAGTCTGTTGGATCATATTAAAGAAGTTCTGTATTAAAATCACAAATGAGTTTGATTCCCCATAGTTTAAATTCCAGGGTATTACTAATTAAGAAGTCTCTTGGTTTTTGGTACTGTTTCTCTCCCTCTATGTGTGAAACTTGCAAGCTGCTAATTGTGTTAGTACATTCTAAGACAGAGTCTGTTCTCAAAGCAATTCACAGAGAGAGAGACTCAAAGCAATACTCTAACAACAGAAACAACACCCAGAGACTCCCCACCCTTTTGTTGTATTAACAATTGTGATTAAAATAGAGATAGAGGATGTATGTGGATGGATGCTTGGTGTGGATAATAACTGAATGATCAGGGAGGTGCCAGCCTAAGAATCCAGTGTCCATCGGCTGAAGAAGGCGTCAAGTGGAAATAACCAGAGGACCCCCCGGAGGGCAGACTGGAATCCACCCAACAGCCTCAAGAATGGGAGAACCAAAGAACAAGATAACATCTTGGAGCCGTCAGGAATGTGCTATCTGCTGATTGATTCAGCAACAGCATGATGAAGCAATTCCCATAGACTGGCATAGGAAGAAATTCCTATAAAAATAGACTCTAAAAAGTGAGAACTTTGGGGGGTCTGATTCTGCAAACCAACTTCCAGGAGCATCAGATGAGCATCTGACAAGGCCCTGCTCCCTCCTCATGTCCAGGCCACCTGGCCAGTGGCTTGGCATGAGCAACTCTAAGGCTGGTAACTATGATGATAACCTTGCAGAACCTGTGTGTGTGTGTGTGTGTGTGTGTGTGTGTGTGTGTGTGTGTGTGTGTGTGTGTGTGTGTGTGTGTGAATAAATATGAGATTGAATGGAATGTTATAACTAGAACTAACTGCTTTCTATGATTCTTTCTGTATTCACAATAAATGTGGTATTTTGCCTTTTTCCCTTTAATAAGATCCTGCTGGTTTTTATTTTAATACTACCACATTTTGGTGGAGAATTGCGAAAGGGGGAATATTGGTAAAAAACCTCAGTTATTGTAAATATTGGTGTGCACACCGCCAGCTCTAGTGAGCTAGGCATTTCTATTAGGTTAAACCAGACCTGCTGGCCTCCGAGAAGGTAGCAGGAAAAACAGATTATACCAGACCTGCTGGCCTCCGAGAAGGTAGCAGGGGACCTGCTGGCCTCCGAGAAGGTAGCAGAAAAAAAAAAAAAAACAGATTAAACCAGACCTGCTGGCCTCCGAGAAGGTAGCAGGGGACCTGCTGGCCTCTGAGAAGGTAGTAGGGAAAACAGATTAAACCAGACCTGCTGGCCTCCGAGAAGGTAGCAGGGGACCTGCTGGCCTCCGAGAAGGTAGCAGGGAAAACAGATTAAACCAGACCTGCTGGCCTCCGAGAAGGTAGCAGGGGACCTGCTGGCCTCCGAGAAGGTAGCAGGAAAAAACAGATTAAACCGGACCTGCTGGCCTCCGAGAAGGTAGCAGGAAAAACAGATTAAACCAGACCTGCTGGCCTCCGAGAAGGTAGCAGGGGACCTGCTGGCCTCCGAGAAGGTAGCAGGAAAAACAGATTAAACCAGACCTGCTGGCCTCCGAGAAGGTAGCAGGGGACCTGCTGGCCTCCGAGAAGGTAGTAGGGAAAACAGATTAAACCAGACCTGCTGGCCTCCGAGAAGGTAGCAGGGGACCTGCTGGCCTCCGAGAAGGTAGCAGGGAAAACAGATTAAACTAGACCTGCTGGCCTCCGAGAAGGTAGCAGGGGACCTGCTGGCCTCCGAGAAGGTAGCAGGAAAGAACAGGTTAACCGGACCTGCTGGCCTCCGAGAAGGTAGCAGGGAGAAATAGGTTAACCGGACCTGCTGGCCTCCGAGAAGGTAGCAGGGAGAAATAGGTTAACTGGACCTGCTGGCCTCCGAGAAGGTAGCAGGGGACCTGCTGGCCTCCGAGAAGGTAGCAGGGGAAAAACGCATAGATTAAGCTATGATTTCAGAATCTAGGCTGTGTCACTTGCTAAGTAATACCAGCAGTGACAAAGAGATTGAAATATCCATGTTAAAGATGTTTAAAAGAAAACAGGGTAAGCCAGTACCAGAGGGAGGAATGGAGTCAGAAGGAACTCCAACCTCACCTTTTGTTAAAGAAATTACACCTTTTAAACAAATCCTTCAAAAATGTGGGCACAGTCCTTGGACTAAACAAGCCCTAGCTGATGTCTGCACTATTTCGGACCTAGAGGATAGATTGGCTCAGTATATCCTCATATACAAACCTTCTAGTGCTGCCAAAAGAGATGCAGCAGCAATTTGGTTGTTGTGGGAGGCATGTAAGGATTCTTCCCTCCGCTTGTCTTCATGTAAAGAGGAAAAGGCACAAACGGAAAAGGAGCAGACAATTGGAAGGTGCTGGCTACAAATACCCAAAGCCAGCTGAAAATAGTGAAAGAGGCACTCCAGGAATACAAAAAGAGTGAAAAAGTTAACTCTGCAGAGGCTGGAGGGAATTAAGCAGTTAAACGTGTATGTATCTGTCTGTGTGTGTGTAAATATGTAAAGTTCTAAGGACCAGTTAGTTTTGTTTTTGTTTTAAATAATGCCACTAAAAATCCATTTGACTCTTTAATTCAAAGTTGCAAAACTGACAGACCTTTTGCTAGACACAGGTAATTAGTGTTGTTTGGCTTTGGGATTTGGCATTTAACCCTTAAAAGGTAACTCAATGCTTTACAAAATTTAAAATGTTTTTAAGTTGTGGCTGCAGCAGGGCAGTCAAAATCAGGAGAATATAAAAAAAAATTTTTTTTTTGGATTCTTTTTGTTTGTTTGTTTTTGTAACAAAATAGCAGATGAGAGTTATAGTAAAAAAAAAAAATATTAAAAAAAGACAGTGCCTCTCTGAAGCAACAGCAGGGGTGAGGTGCACAAAACAAAAAGAAGCAATGTTAGAAACACTGAGTCTTAAAATGGCTCTGAGTAATCAGACTGTCACTTTGATAAAGGTGCATGAAAACTCTGTAAGCAAAAAAAAGAAATAGTGACACCTTATGTAAAAATGGATCTGGATAATGTTATGGAAGTTAAACTATGGAAGGAATGTGCATTTGCCCCAGAACATGTGCAGGGTATATTGTAGAAGGGGCAAAAGAAATGCAAACATACCATGCTACTTAATTAAAATGCTATTAGGGCTCCAAAGGGAGCCACAATAGGTTGGGTTTTCTTTTTCAGATTGCTGTGTGTTTTGGAAGCAGAAGTTAAAAGTAATCAAAACTCTGGTGAAAGTTGATTGTGTCCCTTTTAAGATAGACTCTCTGAGCTGCTGATGGCTTTAAATCCAAAAGCAGGAAGTTTCTGTGAAAATGCAAATTACCTAAATGATGAAGGAAAGAACTAGCAGCACAAAGGAGCTGCAGATAAAGGACGTACCTGGTCAGCAAACAAATTGTCTAAATAAAAGGCATGGGATAACAAGATAATTTTAATAAATTTAATGATAATAAGTATCCCTGTAACAACGTATAGTGTGTACGATTTTTGGAAAAAATCCTTTAAGGTCGTATGGTAATGATGCTTCTCAGTTACTACCTGTAAATAGAACTTAAAGCTTAACACAGCAGGAAAAACATTATAAACTTGGTCTGCTGTATAAGAAGGAAAACTCAGGGATTTAATGACTAAACAGTGGGATAATTTCCCCATAACCCTTAAAAGATAAAAGCCATTGAAACCTGGCCTGCCTATAGAACAAAAACAGGAAAATATGGGGGCAATTTCTCTGTTTTGCCTGCAATCAGCCAGGGTATTTGTAAAAGAAATATTTTAAGCAATAATCTGCCACCCCAAAAGGGGTAGAAACATGTTCTTTTTGTCTTTCAGAAAATCAGGAAAAGCTGATGCCAGCTGAAAAGCAACCCAATACCATGAATCTACTGTCACAATAGAAATTGTGTTCTGTGTTCTATGTTTTGTCTTGTGTTTTGTCTTGTTGCTAGAACTGTTGTGTGTTTAAAAAAAAAAAAATAGTGAAGACCTGCAGGAACTTAAAAATAAATTAAGCTTTCTGTCCCAGCTACAGGACAGCCTGATACAAAAACAAGTACATGCCAATGTAGACTTGGTCCAAATTGGTCTGGGTAACCTAAAAGGCCGATGGAATCTTTAGTAATGGCTTAATACTACCACATGGCTTATCCATAAGAAAAAAAAAATATTAGAAATAGGAAACTACACAGCCATAGCTATGGGATGCACTGAAATGCAGATACTTGCACTAGCTACTTTGGAACATGGGTCATATTGGGAAATATTAAGGGTTTGATGCATTTGTTAAAAAAAAAGAGATCATTGTGACACTTATCAATATGAATGGATGCAATATGTTTCCACTATTGTAAACCAGACTTGTTAATGGGAGAAATTGTTGTCAAAATTGCACACCAACAGTCCCTGGAGGCAAAGGTATTGAAGGTTAACCCACTCCCCATATTACACATGGGATCCTTTTGGCTACCCTGGACCTTGAGCCAGTGGGCTGGGGAGGGAGGGAAGCTATTGGACACTAGAGGTTGTACCGAATGGACTCCTCAAAAGTGGGTGTGCCTCATCTTGCCTGTTGCCCCAGAACCTTGTAGTAAAGATACATCACTAGGATCATGTAGGTGGCATGAATCGGAATCACAAACTCAAATTGCCTCACAGTACTTTCTCTTGAATAGGCTACATAGAAAGTGACACTGACGATTATAAATCTTAGTGTCAAAGGGGGATTATGTTGGATCATATTAAAGAAGTTCTGTATTAAAATCACAAATGAGTTTGATTCCCATAGTTTAAATTCCAGGGTATTACTAATTAAGAGGTCTCTTGGTTTTTGGTACTGTTTCTCTCCCTCTATGTGTGAAACTTGCAAGCTGCTAATTGTGTTAGTACATTCTAAGACAGAGTCTGTTCTCAAAGCAATTCACAGAGAGAGAGACTCAAAGCAATACTCTAACAACAGAAACAACACCCAGAGACTCCCCACCCTTTTGTTGTATTAACAATTGTGATTAAAATAGAGATAGAGGATGTATGTGGATGGATGCTTGGTGTGGATAATAACTGAATGATCAGGGAGGTGCCAGCCTAAGAATCCAGTGTCCATCGGCTGAAGAAGGCGTCAAGTGGAAATAACCAGAGGACCCCCCGGAGGGCAGACTGGAATCCACCCAACAGCCTCAAGAATGGGAGAACCAAAGAACAAGATAACATCTTGGAGCCGTCAGGAATGTGCTATCTGCTGATTGATTCAGCAACAGCATGATGAAGCAATTCCCATAGACTGGCATAGGAAGAAATTCCTATAAAAATAGACTCTAAAAAGTGAGAACTTTGGGGGGTCTGATTCTGCAAACCAACTTCCAGGAGCATCAGATGAGCATCTGACAAGGCCCTGCTCCCTCCTCATGTCCAGGCCACCTGGCCAGTGGCTTGGCATGAGCAACTCTAAGGCTGGTAACTATGATGATAACCTTGCAGAACCTTGTGTGTGTGTGTGTGTGTGTGTGTGTGTGTGTGTGTGTGTGTGTGTGTGTGTGTGTGTGTGTGTGTGTGTGTGTGTGAATAAATATGAGATTGAATGGAATGTTATAACTAGAACTAACTGCTTTCTATGATTCTTTCTGTATTCACAATAAATGTGGTATTTTGCCTTTTTCCCTTTAATAAGATCCTGCTGGTTTTTATTTTATTGGTACAACAAGTCTGTGAGGCCTTGGCAGTATTGTGTTCCAGCCAGAAAAGGTGAGAGCCGGGGATTGCCCAGGGGACCCAGGAAGCCAATGTCCATCAAATAGCTCAGAAATGAGAGGGAGAGCCACACACAAGCCTTCTTGTTTAAAACACAGCCCTCAAATGGTGGAGGTGCTTTCGGAACAAATCAAGGCATGCCATGCTCCCTGCTCCCGTGAGCTGAGCCCTGATTGCAGATGGGATGCAATGGGGGAGGCGGGGTGAGCAAAGACAAAGGTGACAGTGAGCAACTGGCACAGAGTGACAGGAGAATGACTTTCTGCCCCGTTAGGGGGCTGTGCCCTCCGTGGTTTCTCGTCGGTGGCAGTGGTCCAGCATGTGCTCCAGGCTGTCACCTGGCATAGTAATGAGCTGCCTTCTTCATTCCGGCAGGTGCAATTCTTATGGGCCCAGCTGCCAGCAATCCTGGCCATGTTTTGTGACAGGGATGGAAGGCGTGTCATGGAGGCCATGCATAAAGCTGCAGACATCATCTACCTCCTCAACAGGGAAGGGCTTGGCTCCATCTCCCAGGACATTGCTGTCAGCCTTCGCCCCTTCATTGATGACGTAAGGCTTGGAACCCGCAGAAGAAGCCCATTCCCCCGCTCCAGCTGTCTGTGATGCCCTTGTCTCTCTCTCCCCATCCCCTTCCTCCCGCCCCTCAGGCCTGCCATGGAGCCTCCAAGGAGTGCCCCTGCCATGGGTGGGGAATCTCCTGCTGAGCCACCTCCCTGTAAGAGCTCTTCTCTCCAAAGCTCAGCGTCAGTGCCATGCTCCCAGCCCCTGCTGCAGCCTGGCCTGGGGGAGAGGGGGCCTGGCACTGGGCAGATGACCAGCTGCCTGGAGAACACAGGCCCCCAAAGAGGTGGAGATTCTCAGCAGGAAAGAGGTGGGTCGGGAATGGCCCGGCTCTCAGGGGCACCCAAGAGCAAAAGAAATGCTGTCTTTTGGAGCAGCCAGTCCCTGCCAGGCTCCAGCAGCTGCTTCTCCCCTTCCCCACACCAGTCTCCAGCAGCCTGCCTGCCCTCTCCCCTCATCTTCTCGGGTTCTAGGATTCTGTGCTCTCCAGACAGAAACTGCCTCTGGGACACCCTGGGCTGCACTGTCCCGCACAGGGTCTCAGGCCCTGCACAAGATGTCGATGGCGCTGGCCTGGTGGCCTCCCTGCTCCCGCCAGCCCAGGTCGTTCACACAGGGGAACCGGAGCAGCGTGCGCATCACCACTCAATGGCGTTCTGCTCCGATGCTGCCTGGCTTTAACCGGGGGTCCCCACCCCCTGTGTGTCATTGCCAGGAGAAGGGCAGTGTGCGCTCAGCTGCCATTGTACTGCTTGGCAACGTGGTGAGCAGGGTGCAGGACCCCGACAAACCCTTCGTGCAGCAGGAAATCATCCACTGCTTGCTCCCCCTGCTGCTGCATCTTGAAGACCAGGAGGAGAGTGTGAAACTGGTAAGTGCCACAGTCATTATTGCCTGAAGAGCAAAGAGCCAGTATCTCCTGGGGCCCCCACTCCAGTCATCGCCAGAGCCCCTTGCCCAAGCAGAGTTTTCTCCTCCCTGCTTCACTCCATGCTGGAGCCAAGTGCCTCATCCATCCTCACAGCACACAGCACAATTGGGAAGAAAAGCCTTCTTCTGGGAAAGAGGTGGGGCATAGCGTAGTGGAGCCGGGAGTACTGCTGCTGGCCCCGGCATGGCCCAGGGCCTGCGTCCCCCTGAAGTGCGGGGCCCTGGGCAACCACCCCAAACCATCCAAAGGACAGGACGGCTCTGGCTCTCTCCAGCCAACTCTCCCTTTCCTCTCCTCAGCACACTCCTGTGGAGAACAAATGACAGGAATCTCCACTGGCAGGAAAAGCAGGAGAACAAGGGACGGGGGAAGGTTCCATGTCCCCCAGACTATCCCTCTCTCAGGGAGAACCCTCTTGGTCTCCTCTTCTCTTGCAGTCATGTAAACTGACGCTCTTCCGCTGCGCAGTGTTCCTCAGGTGGGCTCATTTGAAGACCCTCTCCCGCAGCTTGGCCTGGGATGGCTCCTCACAGCTCTTGAAGTGTGTCTGGATCTGCTTGGTAGGTGAATTCCTTGTGCCTTGAGAGTGCTGAATGGGGACTTGAGGAAGACCTTTCTAACTCCACACCCTGAGTACCCATCCGCTTCGGTCGGGCTGCAGGACTCCGTTCCAGGCTCTCTGCTGGCTCATTTCAGCAGGAGTTACAATCCGTTCACATTGTTGACATTTTTCTCCACAATACTCCGACCTTCAAACTTTGTCTTTTCAAAGGAAAGCTGAGGTTCTGGAGAACACAATAGGAACTTCAGAGGGGTGCTGCTCTGGTGTATGGGTTCATATTGGTGGTTGCCAGGGCCTGGCTATATGCATTGGCTTTCCTGGACTATTTGCTGTGGGAAGAACATGTCATTTGTATATTGTGCATTTCTTCCTTCTTTCTTCCTAGATGCAGAACAACGAGAGCCACATCCCCAAATTCCTGTTCCAGGCCTTACAGTACCTGGAAAGCTCACAGACAACAATAAGACATTCAGCAGCCCGATTCATTGGTAAGCAGAGCAAATTCACTTGATCTTTTCTCAATGCTTCCTTCAGAGCCCTTTTCTGGACGGCTGCTCTGTTCCCTCCAACAGCACCAGAATCCTAAAACGGGGGTGTGTGTGTGTGTGTGTGTGAATTAACATGTATTCCAAGATGAAGGGAGCAACTTAGCTGAATCGACTGCACCAACTTCCCCCGCCCACAACACTTCTTTGGCTGAGCCTAGGGGAAACCAGCAGGATGTGAATTCAATCTCCTTTGGAAGTCAGCCTCTCAGTAACTTCTGGGCCTCTGATGCTTTCTGGAATATGCTTTGTGAACAGATGTAAGGAATGTCTGGAATTTCCCAAAGGTGTCTTGGGAGAATGGCTGCATCATTAGCAGTTTTCAGGAAAGGATCTGAAAAGCCATGAGAGCCATTGTATTCATTGCAAAAAGGAAAGGAGTACTTGTGGCACCTTAGAGACTAACCAATTTATTTGAGCATGAGCTTCATTTCCACGGTATGCATCCGATGAAGTGAGCTGTAGCTCACGAAAGCTTATGCTCAAATGAATTGGTTAGTCGCTAAGGTGCCACAAGTACTCCTTTTCTTATTGTATTCATTGTTTGTCTAGGAAATACTATCCACCATTACTGTGATTTGTTGTCTGAAACAGTGAATGAAGATGGCATCTCCCGCCTGTATGAAGGTAAGGAAATACCTCTGTGTGTTTGGGCCTCTGTGGGAAGCACAGGGGTGCAGCACAGGGCCTGAACACAGCTTTGAATGTGTCCCTCTCAGTCTAAGGACAGCGTTGAAGGAAGAAGGATGGTCACGCCAGCTTTCATCGTGGTCCCACAATCTGTGTATGGGAGCAGGGGAATTCCATCCTGAGCTCCTAGTGTAGACATAGCCTTAGAGCTGTGTGGGGAGACTGTCTTCATCAAGGTCAGAAAGTCTCTAAAGGAAGGCCTGACCCAACTGAAAAGGGCTGTTGGTATTAAGGATGATGATGATGACGATTCCCCTCTGTAGGGAAAGATTCATCACCTGCCCTCCCTGGAATGGAGTGATTGCAGGCCAGGGACCTTCACTCCGAGATTGGTTATCAGCTCCGAGGAAATCCCATGAGGGCACATGGGTGACACTTTTCCCTGTGAGCTCTTCAGGAATGAAGGCACAGGGCCACAAAGCATTTCAGGAGACGTTAGGAGCCGAAATCCCTTTGTGGATCTCGGCCTAAATGTTGTATGGTTTAATGTGGCTGCCGCTGTCACTTTCCTGTTCCATCCAAAGAACAAGTGCCCCCAACCGTCTGTGTGTACGGGTGTGTGGAGGAGTGTCTGCCAGCAGAGGGGGAAGCTTTGCAAGAATGGGGTCTCCTCTCTGTCCAGGGCTATTTTGGGAGGAGCGGAGTTGTTGTTCTTGTGCCCTTAGACTCTTGGGGAGCTAACAGCAGGGGGCAATGGCCATCGGAAGTGGAGGTTTCCTAGGTACCAGTCACATCAGCATCACGGGGTTTTCAACCCATTTCCTCTTGGTTTCAGCTTTTCACGAAGTGCCTTTGAAATCAGACAGGACCACGTGGTACATCCTCAACAGATATTATAAATGGTTGCAGAAGCTTGGAAATCTCGTGTCGGGTTCTGCATTTGACTAGGGAACCGGGACCGACACAGACGAGCTCTTTGTCCTGCTATGGTAAATACAACAGACGCTTCTCAACTTTTTGGTGTCCCTGGCCTCTGTTTGCCAGAAGCTGGGAATGGGGGACAGGGGACTGATCACTAGATGATTGCCTGTCCCTTCATTCCCTCTGGGGCACCTGGCATTGGCCACTGTCGGAAGACAGGATACTGGGCTAGATGGACCTTTGCTGTGGCCTTTCTTATGTCCTTATGTTTGGAACCGGGGCTGAACAAGGAGGTGGATATCAGCAGATGACCCAAAATTATGTCGATTAGTCGGGCCTAGAGAAGACTTGGAAGAAGTTGAAAGGGATCTAAGAAAGCTATGTCACTGGGCAGCCCCATGGCAGATGAAAACCAGCGCTGACCAAGGCAGGGCCATACACATGGAAAGCAGTGAGGTGAATGACTCCTCCATAGCGCTGGTGTCAGAAGCCAAAGCACGGCTGGTTGGGCCCAGTGGTTGGAGCAGGGGCGCTGGGGCCTCGTGCTCAGAGTGGTGGAGGCCGAGCCGAGGGGAGCCAAGGGTTGGAGCCGGAGTCAGGAGTCAAGGGCAGGATTGGAACAGGCTGGGGAATAGGGCAAGGGCCGGATTAACAATCCCCGGCCAATGGGCGCTGCGGGGAGGCAGAGCCTACAGGCAAGATCAGCCCCCGGGACAGAGGTTCCCGGTGTGGTGCTCGTCGTGGTGACGTGGCTGGCGGGGATGAGGAACGGCAGCGTGAGGAGCCTCCTCGCCCCCACCCCAGCCAGGCAGAGCCGGCCCGGCCGCAACGCAGCACGCAGGGGTTTAGTGACTGCAGCCTGGGCCCCCCTTAGCCCTACTCCTTTCCTGAGTGCACCATTGCCCCACTTCTGCCCCATTCCCACACACTGGTACAGGGCAGAACCCTGGAGCTGATCTCTGAAATCTCTCTCACTAGAAGGAAGTCACTGCAAAGGCAGGACAACCCCACCTTTGGGCACCATGGAGGACATCTCATCCCACTGCACAGAGCCCTGCATTCACACAGCTTCTTGCATGTGGTTCCCTCACTCATCAGAGCCAGGTGAAGAGAGGAGAAATTCTCCCAGACTCCCTTTTACCATTGCCAGCCCAAAGGGTAGCAGAGGTTGCGGGGGGTTGGGTGCTCTCTTTAAGAAATGCCAGCTCTCAGGGAAGTTGCCAATGAGCATCAGCAAAGTGGGGTGGGGTTGTGCTGTGGAAACCTACCCTGCTTGAAGGTTTTGTTCTTCTCATTTGGGTTCCTGCCCTTTCTCCCTCTTCCAGACATCGAGAGGCCAACAGGAGCCAATTGAGCCCACCACTGATCCCATCTCTTGTGAGATGGCAAAGCAACTTTGCATGGGAAGGAGGAGACACAAGAGGCCGAGCAGCATGTGCCGGGCTGAACCAGCCACACAGAACCCCATAGTCTAGGTGGAGAAAGCCAAGCCCCGCCCCAGCCCTGCCGGACATGCTCCAACTGGAGCACCAGTGTGTAAGCGAGCAGCTCAGACCGATGAAAATGGAGAATGCACACTGTAGGCTCCAGTCCAGAAGCAGCTCAAGCCCCTGACTGCAGAGCTCTGAGGTGCCGAGACCCAGCCACGTCCCTGGGGGCCTGCAGACATGCAAGGGAGATCGGAGACTCTGGGAGTTTCCCACGCCGGGAACCCAGAGACCCCCAGCCCATGGCCTAGAGACATCTCCAAGGAAGTAACCTGGGTGAACTAGCCATTGTCATCCGCAGTGCTGGATCCCCACTGACTCAATGGCACTGAAGGGCAGCTATACAGACTCCGGCCGTTGGGCCACACAGCATTGAGGGAGAGAGTAGCCATATTGTCCGTTGCCATCGGGCCACACGGGCGTAAGAGACAGGATAGACATATGGACAATGAGCGTTGAGCCACACAGCCCCAACGGAGAGGGCAGCCGCACGGACCCTGGTCGCTGGGCCACACAGCCCCGACGGAGCGGGCGGCCGCACGGACCCTGGTCGCTGGGCCACACAGCCCCGACGGAGAGGGCGGCCGCACGGACCCTGGTCGCTGGGCCACACAGCCCCGACGGAGCGGGCGGCCGCACGGACTCTGGTCGCTGGGCCACACAGCCCCGACGGAGCGGGCGGCCGCACGGACTCTGGTCGCTGGGCCACACAGCCCCGACGGAGAGGGCGGCCGCACGGACTCTGGGTGTTGGGACACACACACTGCGTGGGAGGGCAGCCATTTTGACACTGGGCATTTGGCCAAACTACCCTGAGGCTTAGGGAAGTTATTTGATGTCAGCCATGGGACCTCGCCCCTTCACTCCTCAGACATCGCTCATCTGTCACCATGAGACCGACCCCATGACAGAAGACTTTTGGGGTCAAGATGCAAACAGGAGTCGAAGCAAGGAGTGGCATGTGACCCCTCTAAGAGATCCTCCCACTCCTTTACCAATCTGGGGGTGTTTTATCTCCATCCACCTGCCTCAGGAATGGATTTGAGCAATTGGGGAATGTTCTGGGGCAGAGTGACCCATCCGGAAGTGGGTCACGTGACCCTCCAAGAGCTCCTCCCACTTGGGGTGGCCTCAGCCCCTTAGGACCCACCAGAGAGGGGATTTCACCAAACATTGTAAGTGCCCTGGTGGGGTGACCTGCCCGCAAGAGGGGTCCATCACCCCTCCATGAAATCCCCGCACCGTCCTCTGCTAATCAGTCAGGGTTTCACACACGCTTTAGGCCATCCCAGAAGGGAAACGTAACGATCAGAATAGGCAGTGCCCGAAGGTCTAGGCCACAAGCCGCCGATCTCTGGAGCTCCATGTTTGCGAGGCTGGCAGCATCGTCCTGGAAGTCGCAACACAATACTGCGGGGAAGAGCTCGTCTCGTTCCAAGGATTTCTTTTGAAGAAACCGTGGCCTAGACCTTCGGGCTATACCTGTTCTGGATTGGTACGCATTTCCCTTCTGAGATGGCGTAAAGTGGGAGTGAAACCCTCGCCAACTGCTAGAGGGTGGTGTGGGGACGTTTTAGAGGGACCACGGGATCCTGTTGCGGGCAGGTCACTCCACTGCAGCACTTTCCTTCTTTGGTCAAATCCCCTCTCGGGGTGGTCCTACGGGGCTGACGCCCACTTCAATTGGTAGAGGACACAGGGAGGAGTTCTCAGAGGGGATATACAACCCCCTTCTGCGTGGGTCACCCTGCCCCGCAACCTTCCCTGATTGGTCAAATCCAGTCTCCGGGTGTGTAAAATGCTGGTTGCCCCTGCCAAATTTTCCTAAAAGAAGGGAAGAAAGGCATGTACCTTTTGGGTTATCTGTCAGGTGGCCATCTTGGACTTGGGAAAAGAAGCTGGTGACCTTTAGCCATTTCCTCTATTAGTTTGGGTTGGGGAGCACACTCCCACGCACGGATTGAATCCGCGTAGATAGGGTCTAACATCCAGGCAGAGACGACGCAAAGAGGGATAGGGAGGGTTTTTAGTTAGGTCTACTCACCCGTTCCTGTGTCCATCATGGAGTCCCTCCCTGACGTCCAATGTCAAGAGAGCAGCAGCCGTCCATCGCTGTCCCTGCAAGAGAAGGGAGAGAGAACATCAACATGACCTCCTGGGTGTAATTGTTTGGGAGACTGGAGCACTTCCAGAGTTCAAGTTTTGTTAATCCACCCCTTCTCTAGCCTAGCCTAGTCCTTTTCCCTCTCGTAAATAAAGTCTTGTTTGTGTGCTTGCCACTGCCTGGCGTTATTTTCTTGTGCTAAGGCAAGCTCTGACAGACTGGCTTTACAAAGGGGACCATGTGGGAAGAATTTACTGTCAGATTCCCTGCAGCTTGTGAATGGGGTTTGGGTTCTGCCCTTTTGAAAGGAAGGAAAAATCCTTCCAGGTGATCCTACGGGGCTGAAACCCACTGGGATTACTTAGTAATCTGTCCTCTTCACTACCATGCTTGTGACCCTCTGTGTCATAGGGAAGTAGCCCATGGCTCATTATGCATCTTTGGATTTAAAATGGACACGTGTGGTGTACAGACGAAGAAGGACAACTTTTCAAGTCCAGTGTGTACAGAAATGGGATGGACACTTCAAGGATTGAATACAATGCTTTGATCTTCCATCTGTTCATTAAACAAAGACAAAGGTGCAGATTTGGGAGGCTCGGCACTGACTTCCCCAGGATCATTCCTCTCCGCGTAATTCCCATGATAAATCTCCTCTCAAGGACGAGCCTGAGGAAGTGTGATCAGGGGAACTACCCAGAGCACCAGATAAATCAGGGCCCTGAGCTGAGAAAAACCAAGCCTTGGAAAGAGGCCCAAGCAGCTCAGCCGTCTTGTCCTCTGCCGTCTTGTGTGTGTGTCGCGTGTTGGTGTCGCGTGTGATTTCAGTGTCGTGTTGTCTGCCGTCTTGTGTGTCGTGTGACATGTCGTACGTTGTGTCGTGGGCGTGTGAGACGTCGTGTGTGTGTGAGACGTTGTGTGTCGTGTGTGTCGGTGTCGTATATGTATGTGAGATGTGTGTCGTGTGTGTGAGATGTGTGTGTGCAAGACGTGTGTGTCATGTGTGTCAGTGTCGTGCGTCGTGTGTCGTGTGTGTGCCGGCGTGTTTGAGACGTCGTGAGTCGGCGGGTGTCGGTGTGTGTGGTGTGTGTGTGGGGGCATGTGTCATGTGTGTGCGGGCGTGTGTTGTGCGTGTGTGGGCATGTGGTGTGTGGGCGTGTGTGTGAGACGTCATGTGTGTGTGTGAGATGTCGTGTGTCGTGTGTGTGTGTGCGTCAGTCGTCCTGTGTGGTGTGTGTCAGTGTTCAATCAGCACACTCCTGTGGAGAACAAATGACAGGAATCTCCACTGGCAGGAAAAGCAGGAGAACAAGGGTAATACGCTGGAGAGGAAAGGAGACATGACAAAGGGACAATAGCGAATGGCAATGGGGGCAGGTGGCAGATTGGGAGAGCTGAGTGAAATTCACACACACAGATGCACCATCTTCCCTGTGGTGGCGGGTTCGCAAGGTGACATCTCAAATCTCACTTACAGCCAGAGACACATGGCTGCTCGTCTCCTCCCGGCGTCTCTGCTGGAGCTTGTCCAGCAGCTGCTGCAGCACCTCCCTGGTGAGCTGTGGTTCTTCACCCAAGGCCTTCCACAACTCAATGGCACATCTGCAAATTCAGAAACACACGTCAGAGCTTTCCTGCTTGGCCATCTCTTGCCCTCCCCAGGGAGAGGCTTGGAATACCAGAGGAGACAGCCACTGGTGCAGGGAGGCTAAGGCAGGGCAAGTCCCTTCAGAGAAAGTTGTATTTATTCCTTTCCCCTAATGGGTTCTTGTTTCTAAAGCTAACCCACTCTTTCCAAGACAGTGACCATGTACTGACCACAGAATGACCACCAAACTGTGACCCGCAGACTGTGCAAAATTCTGCTCTGTTACACTTGGGTCAGTCCCGAGAAACTTGCCTGACATCATTGGAGTTCCTCTGGCTGTTTGGGGCTATAACGGAGACCCAGCCTTTGGCCAAGTGTCTCTTAGCAGCTCAATTCTACTGCAGTGTGGTGGACAGGGTCAGAGAGTGAGTCAGCACATGCCCTGATCTGAGAAGATTCAAGAGCTTGGAAGAGGAGATTGTAAAGCCCAATGTGACAGAGATGGAAGGAAAGTAGGACTGAAATCCCCCTCCTCCATTCTTGCGGATCTAAGTCCTGCTGGTCCCCGCAGGCATCTGCAGAGGAAGACTGCAGATGGATCCAAAAGACTTCCAGTCA